GAAATATTATTTGAGAATCAATTTTCAATTTGATGAAGTATTATTGATTATTGGGTTAATTATGTATTTATTATTCAAAACAAATGAATTAAAGGTGAATATAAAGTAGAAACAAAATTGTAACGGTTTTGTATTAATGAGATTTGATAAAGAAACAAAAAAGTCAAATGTAACTGATTTAGGCGGGAAAATGATTGAGGTTTTATTAAATGTTTTATTTAATGCATCTGCCAGCAATTATATATATATATATAGTTTTGTTATAGAAATTGACCATTTCGTTTTGCATTAAATAAGTGTAATAATATTTTTGAACTTATTTATCAAATAATAATCAGTACTAAATAATTAATTATAAATTCACATTAAAACTTTATGAAAGTTATACACTTGAACAAATATTAGCAAAGTTATTTTTTCATTTTATTTATTTTAACATATTATTGATAAGGTCCGGTACGAGTAACTCTGGTCCTGTATGATCTTCGGTGCAAAGGTAGAGCCTCCTACGCCGATTTGTTAGATGGAGTACCTGCAAAAGGGCGTTGATGTTTCTCCGGCGCAAAACCCTCTGATGCTCAAGTTAGGATCGAGAGATGGAAGAAGATGAATAGTGATTGTGTAACTACTGAGAATTAAATATAATTTGTTTAAGCATTTAATGCTCCCATTATATATATATATATATATATCTTTCTTCTCTTATCTATAAAAAGGAAGCCATAGCCTCTTTTGTTGACACGTGGTGCTCAATTCTAAGAGGCCACGTCGACATTAATTAAAACGTCGTCGTTTTGGTTTATGCATCTTTTGATCTTTACTCTTCAGTCTTGGGATGTGAATATCAGATATATTCTTTTTTTTCTCGCTGAACCATAATTTCATTTCAACAAACCCCTACCTACCATCAATCTTGACAGATGCGTCCTCACATCACAAGGTACAAAGTTGAAAATCAAGGCTCGATTATTCAGAGGAACGATTCACAACGTTGTCTGCTGGATCTCGAAAAAAAAAGGCACATCAGCCGCGGTAGGAATAGACCACAGGATCATGGTCAACAACAAATTTTATTGAGTTGTATAATTGCCTCATTTGTGCTACTAATTCAATATTTTTTGATTTTTTATGATATTTTATTTATTTTGATCT